TACAAACTAAAAGTTGATCAAATTTCAAGCTTCAGAGCATAATTTTTCACCTTCAAAAATCTACCAGCATCTCATCTCCCACATAACAGCAATAGATAATGACAATTGTCTATGGTCATTTGAATTCTCTACTTCTCTGAATTATTAGGGTTTGGACCCAGCCATTAGCAGAGAGCAGATTTGATATACCTCAGATAAATCCTGAGTCAGTTATTTTTTCAGCATCTGCTAAGTTCTCGCACTGGCAAAGGATTAGTTCATCCGAGTCCTTTAATCAGAAAGCATTTATCTCACTGGTGAGAACGGGAAATGACATTGAAAATATTAATAGATTTTTTATTTAACAAAATCTGTTATTAATGTTGGCCTGTTCTTTTAAAACATGTTTGTTTTATAATGGGGAAACTTCATACTTCAGAGAAATGGTATGGGATCAGAGACTGCTCTTTGCCCTTCAGTTTGCAAGAAATTGTTCCAATTTCAACACATGCTGTGGTTGTACAGTCATACTCACCAGCAGTATTCATGCACACCATCAGCTAAGTTTTATGACACCTCTGTCAGATAGATACAACTGTTTTAAAATCAGGAAAGAGAAGAGATATACAATGCTTTGGGGAAAAAAAAAATGTAAATCCTCATGTTGTCATTGATACAAGATATTGATGGAAAAAACCTCTAATCCGTAATCCTGATGCTATTTCCTCAAGTCTTTCTGGGAAGAATCCTGCAGCATAATACCAAGCTTGATGTCAAAGTAGCACAGAAAATGCTATTTGCTCATAAAATGGGCTTGACTTCCTAGAAAACTCCAGTAACAGTAATACTATGTGGACCACCAGTAATTCCAGCACTGAAAAGAAAGGAATGTGAGAATACCCACTCTGTGAATAAATCCAACTGTAAAAGACAAGCGCTATAATCACGCTAATCTATCACTTGGTCACTCTCAGATATGAAACTGCAAAATATATAATGTTGTAAGGAAGTCAAATTTAATTCTTTTGTCCAGCCCTTTAAAGCTCAGAAAGGAGAGAATGGAAAAATCATGACCTCCTTAAAAATCTGTCTCTCAGAGTCATCACGCTGACCAGGTCTATTGCTCGTGACAATACAGCACTCGAATGCACTGTTTTCTTGCAGCATTTTTGCCCTCAGCTGTGCTGTCTTCAGCGTTACCTAAAGCTTTCTGTCTCTTTTGAGAATCAGAAAACATTCACGCTGCTCTCTGGTTTTCTGTAGAGCATATGACTGTCAGAGAGGCATCAGCAGAGCAGCTCCAGCATTTCTGGTCCAAGCAGTCTGCTTCGGTGCCAGTCTGCTTAGCCAGAGGGCCTAAGTGACAGGTATACGCGATGAGTGACAATTGCTGGGTAAAATATTCCTATTGCTATTGATTTCCATTTGTACATGGCCAACAACAAAGACTGCCAACAAATCAGAGCAGAATACCAGTGGGAAGAAAACAGTCCCAAGGGCACATCTAACATGGCAAAGTCAGTAAAACAAATTTAAATACACCTTTATACCAAGCCAAAGTGAAAAACCAAACCTTTTTTTTTTTTTTTCTCTCCTATCAATGACAAGGTCAGATATAAATCTGTGACTTGAAAGGGAGCAACTGAAACTGAAATCACTGCAGGAACCTGATGTGGTGCGGCAGCCAAGGTGCAATGTACGGAGCAGTGCTAATCCAACAGGGCAGGAAGGACACGACAAGGGTGGCTCGCCTGCTCCCCTCTCCATCCCTCCCAGCAGATTCGTGTCCGGTTGAAATTTCATACAGAAGCAGTCAGGGAGGGAGAGCAAGATTGAAAGGACGTAAAGAAGGGGGCAGGGAGCTATAGAAGTGTTTTTTGTTGTTTTTTTTTTTTTTAAAAAAAAAGTCAGCAAGGTACAGAGATGGAGATGGCTAAAATCATTGTGCAAAAATCAGATGGGCTGTGATGGAAAGAAATGACTGGCAGTGATGGGTACCAAATATCACGGAGTGATAAAGGAAAATGCAGGCTAAAGTGCAACTATTTAAGGATTTCTTTTAGTCGGATTGTTAAAGAAAAGGAGCTTTCAAAGTAGAGCATTCATCACGGCGAGCACATTCATCTCCTTTTAGCCAGGACATATACAGAATATATAACCAATATAAAGGAGACTTTAAATGTCACTCTAAAATCTTCACCAAAGAAGGCTTCAAACTGCAAGCTACACATCAAAAAAAACTCCCCAAATTTTGGAGCACCGGTATTACTGAATGTTTCTCACCAGAAGTGTCTTTAAGTGCACTAACGGTTCAGTTTTCTTCTAAAGGATGGTAAAAGCTAATTCATATGAGCTATAAACTGAAAAAATCTCTGTTCCACCAGAAAACATTCACAAGATTTGACATCCTTAATGTAAACTTAGTCTATTTATGAACCAGTCACTTAAAACTGCCCCTTTCTAGCCATATTAGGTCTTACTAATACATTCTTTCTTTCCATCGCAGAAGAGTTGACTGATTAAAGTTCAGAGGTGGCAAGCAGAAAGCAAGGTTACTTACTGAAGCAGAAGGAGCAGACACTCCCCAAAGTGTCAGTCCAGACAGAGGCACCAAGAAGAATCAGAGTGACTTTAAAGTCTGGAAAGGTACATTTTATACCGAACACTTCTTTGCTTCTGTTGAAACATATGAAGTATTAATGCCAATTCACTACACATCAATGCACTTGTATACTCCCCTGTTATCAAGGGTCCAAATGAAAACTGTCTATTCAGAATACTGTTCTCCTGAATTATCAGTCAGCTTTCTTCTACAAATCCAGGAGATCTTCACTGTTCACCAAATTTTATTTATGACTGACAGTTTTACCTTTCAGAAAAGACGTTCTCTCTGTCAAGTTTCAGAAAGGCAGCAGCGTATGTATTTTTGATGTGCTAAGAAACTTGGTATTTAGAACAGATATAAATCGATCAGGAGTACGTAAAAAGGCTATAAAACCTGACAAGAAGTTTCAAATCTGGGGGCTGGATCCAGCATGCAAGAACAACCTGTTCACCCTATAGTAGTGGTCTCCACTTCCATCCTCCCAGGAGTCCCAGGCACACACGGGAAGAGGCTGAGAGCTGGACGAACTGACCTCGCAAACCACTTGCTGCTATTTTCAGTCCTGAGGGTCCCCCAACTGCCCTGTCTCAGCCCGTCATGCGACAGTGCAGCCTGCTGAAAGGTCTTCATCAGAGAATCTGTTTAACCCTAAGCTAAAGGTTATGCAAAACAACAGCTCCTTAAAAAAAAAAAAATACATATATATAAAATTTGACTCAAGTGGTAATAACCCTAATTATTCCATGATTATTTCTGTAAGTACCAGTCTCTAATACCCCTATTTGCACCAAATGTCAGGCTTACTGACAGCTCGCTACTGCCCTGTCTTCAGCCAAGGAGGTAAAAGTTACATCCATTGGTTGTTCAAAAAACACATTCACACAACTGCTTTTCCTGGTACGTTTGAAATACGAAACCACACTGCTAAAATAGTTCTTTCTGGTTTTGTCATAGGGCTTTTTGTTACGAGAAACAACAAGGTCTCAGAAGCATCTATTCTTGCTTCATCTTCACATCCCCTTTCTCTGCACAGAGTGGAAGAACTACAAATGTACTTGCTGTTTGATGTTAGTCTAATAAGGCATTACTGGGGGAAACAGTCTCAAAACACGAGTCACTACCTACATAATTCATTTAAGAAATACAACCGTGGTTCTGAGTTTAGGTGGTATTTTTTTGTTTTGGTTTGGTTCTTTGTTTTTAAATATACATGGGTATTTTTCACACTTGCTCACTAATGTACTCACATAACCTTTTTTTCCCCCCTTTTTGATTTGTTACTAATGGAATATAATTGTTTCTCAAGATGCTGAGCAGAAAACTCCACTTTTCTTGAGGCTGGGAAAAAACTAAAAATGTACACCATTACTGTGTTGTTGGTCACTGCAGAGACACATTGGGGGAAGGTGGAGGTGGATCATCACTTAAGAAGGGTAAGCTTTCAAAGACAGAGGAAAGAGAACAAAAAAATTACTTTTGACTACATATACCACCTCAGCAGGATCCCAGTTTACTTTTGCTTTCATTCTGGCCTTGGTAGAGCCACACAGTTCCAGTTAAGTCATTGAGTCTGCATGCAGATACTCTGCTTGCCTAATACAGGTACTGTTTTGCTATAAGCTATCAAAATATTACAGAATCAAAAGAAACTTAATCAGCGTTAACTATTATTTTCAAAACCCTTACTATGCTCATAGTGTGGCATGCAGTACCTACAGTTAGGAGATTAATTACTATGATTCACATGAACACATTGAAGAGGAAGAATAAACCAAACTTGAACATGGGAAGCCATGCCTTTAGTTGCATGGTCACATTGAATTTAAAAAGAAATGCAGTGTTCAGCACTGATAGAGCGCTCTCTCTTTCAGGCATTTAAGACCAGACTGCATAATGCAACCAGTAATAAATATTTACTTGTAAGATAAAAATAGGTACTATATAAAATAAAGGGGAGTTTTTCTCCCCATTTGTCCTAAAATGCAAAGAACACTTGATCATTTATGATGCGAACTTTTTTTTTCTCTGCTCTTTTTCAGTTTCTACTTTGCGGATATTACCCAATTTTGTTATTTGATTAGTTAAAGAAAAATAAAAGGAAAAAAAAAACTTGCAATGCATGGAATACAAATATAATTTTAATATGATTGCTAGTATGGCTGATTTTATGTTCAATTTCAATGTTTTGAGATTTTCCAAGCTTGAAGTACAGAGTTCTCAGCACACACATCAGCAAAAATTGCATTAATCACACAGAATATATCTCTACATCCAAAGAGGGACCACAAGTTCAAGTACATTAAGGTTAAAAAAGAAAGTACTGATTTGATTCGGATGCAGTAAATTCAGCAATGTGAAGTGTCTCAACGCATACTTATCTAAATCAGGTTTACATAATTTACAAAATCAAGCTTACCTGACCATTTTTTCCCAGTTCCATTTCTACTATTGCAACTGGAGTGTTTATCTGATCGATGTGTCTTGACTGTGACTTCAGATCCACTCTCCAGTTCATGTTTTTCAAGACATTATCCCAACGGCTTTGATTTACCAGGCTCTCGTGGATCTTTACTCGGTGGTTCTTCCAAAATTTTGCGAGGACTGCAGCTTGATCAGATGTGATGCCACCTTGTTTTTTGGTTTGGGCAGTGAGAAAAGCCTCCAGCTGATTCAAATCCATGTCTGCTGAAGCAATTGACTGCAGGAAAAAATGGAAGAGAAAAAGGGAAAAGCTTGCTCAGAAGTACTTTTTAAAAACTCTAAGCTGAACAGTCCACCAAAAGGTTGTATCTTTAAGATTTTGCAAATATCAGATTTTAAAGGGATAGTGCAAACAAAACTCAGTTATGGAAATAACCTGACAATTCCTATTACAACTCATTTTGACTACACTACTTATCTCACGCTTCTGCCCCAGGACAGCTATGGTATGTTATGGTATGGTATGGTATGGGATCTCTAACAGTAGGGATGAAGCCGGGAATGCCTTTGGAAATGCAGCACAGGATAGCAAGGAAGCTTTTCACTGTCAGCTTGGCCCTTTTCCCCAGTACGTCCCAGGCATACCAACTGGTTTGTACTGGGTAGCTGGGACAGGCATCCAGTACAATACTGCTGTCCTGATGGTCTGTTCTATGGGAAAGCAATTGTAAAAATGTAATTGTATCAACTGTAATTGTAAAAATCTCGAAGTGTTAAAAATGCAGCTGCAGCTTCTTCTGAAGCATCAGTGGACTCTGTTACAGTAAATGCCGTGTGTTTTGCAAAGGGTCTGCAAGGGGTAAAGCAACAGAAACAATTCTTCCAAAACCCATTTTATTTAATAGACATCCACGTTTTCCACTGATCTTTCCAAAACCGGTAATCCTACAGCCTTAAATTTGCATCGCCTAACTGGGAACGTTCGCTAAATGCATCTGAAGGGAGGAGAAGACAGGATGTGAAGGGAGGAAACTGTCACTAAGTTTCCCCGTTGTAATTTCAAGCAGATGCTTCTGTTTCATCCTCACCCAAAATGGATGCGACTCATCCATGCCACCTCCAAGAACATGGGAATGCAGAGAACAGCAAGGCAATATGAGGCTAAAATCCTTGGGATTTGTACCCTTTTTCCTCGACACTGTATTCCTACTACTGCACACCACACGTTACCAGTGCCAAACATAGAAGAAACAAAGCCCTCAGGTCTGAAATGTCCCCTGGGTTAACACCTTCACCACTTTCCGAGACAAAACGTAATACATCTGTGCCTTTTAAAACCGCTGCTCGAAAGGAGGCCTAGCGCTCATCCGCAAATGGCGCTGAGGGAAGCGGCCATCTTGCTCCCAAAGCCTCGGACTCCCTGCAGATCAATGCGAGATCTGCTGCTTCTCCCCACTGATGGTCTATGTTTGTCACCAAAGTGCAAAGCACACTGTCTTAGTCACATTGCGAGTGGATTGAAATACAACAGTAGATTAAAAAAAACAACAAAAACCCACACAAGAACTAGTCCTGGACAGAGTTTGCAGGTCGTGCAAGTGACAGACAACAGAGGCAGATTTCCTGCGTCAAAGCAAGCGAGGCCAACAACCACCTCCTCAAATACACCACATCCTTCTTAACCTGAGTTTTTTCTAGAGAAAATATAAACTAAAACCAGAAAGAACAGCCCCCACCCTCCAAAAAACAACACGCAGCTTGTGATCTGCAACAGAATCCAGCCTTTTATCATCCAGCACTAAAAGCTCTCTCCTGAAAGTTTTGTACTATTTTGTTTAGGAGGGGAGCTCTGCCTTCCCTAAGTCTCATGATGGATTGGCTGCCATCTGTTACATGATTAAGAAAATAAATGGCAATCCATACTAGAAGTAACTGCTCTGCTGTATCAGGATTCCAGCTTAATCGGAGCTCTGGTAATTTATTTTAAGATGTGAGATGTCTAGTGTGTCACTGTCTTTTTCAATTCATGATATCTGTGCATTGATTGCTTTTCATCATGAAGATATTTACCTGGAGGCACATTCAACTCTAATTATCTTGTAAGCGAAAAAAAGCACTTTTACTTTCTGTTTTAAAAGAACTGTTTATTTAGACTCACATTCCTTTCATACACACAGGTCTTTCACGAAGAGGACCATCTTCCACAGCAGCATGAAATATGTTCCCTTTTAATATTTGTCGTATCGGTGAATTTGTGTGAGGACCTGTTTGTATGTTCTCCGACACCTACCACCTTTCACCATTTTGTGGAGGTTTATGTGAATGGAAGAAGAAACAGGGTGACCTACCAACCTCAAGCCCCATCACCTTGTGTACAGAGAGTCAAGACCAAGATGAATTTTGGAGTTTCCCCTCAGTTTAGCTGTGCAAAAAATCGTTTCCTGTTTTATTCTTACACCAAAGCCAAGGACATAAAGTGCGTCCTCTGCACTTTATAAGAAGCAAAGGTGTAATAAATTAAATGTGATTCCAATGAAGATTCACATGTGGATCAAATAACCAGGTAACCCTTCTCTATTATTGATTTTTATGAGTTTCAAATGTTTCACATATGTAACTGATGGTTTGGTTTTTAATCTCATCCCCTTCACAACTCTTTTTGTAAGACACAACAAAAATTCTGGCAATAATTTGCTAAGCTCATAGAAAACAAAGGTCCTTATTGTGCTTGACACATGATATAAATCTGACTTTGAAGTGTAGCTGAAAGAGGAAGCTTACAACCAAACTTGCAGTTTTAAGCATGAAGAAGATAACAAATACTACTAGGGCTTCTACAGGACAATTAAGCTCGCCTGTTTGGCAAAGATCATCAGACCAGTGGTTAAGATTCTCTATGAGTTACACTTAAAACCTGTGTGCGTTCATGCAGCACAAGCACCTGATATAGCTTGCTAACAAAAGGCTATCACACCAAACAGAGGAAGGAAACCATGTGTCACAATTAGCAATCATTTACATCTCTTTCTCTTGCAGATAAGGGTGCACATTAAGATGCAATACGCATCACTTAATATTGTGGATGTACATAACTAGAAACCAGAAGGCAACAACCATACTGAATTTTGGCAGAACGTTATATAGCATGTGTTTTAAATAACACACTGATACAGTCTATCGTTCAGACTAGAATCACTCTCAGCTTGCAAATAAGAACACTATCTAAAAGTTACTTTAAAATATATATAAGTGAAAATAATATAAATTTTAACTGGAAGAGAATGCAATCAATCAACTTTGTGCATATAACTGCACAAAGATATTACTGAAGACATTTTCTTTGAAATTCACAAGAAAACCCATCAGCGATAAAGGTCTTCAAGCAACTAAACAACAGCAACTCATTGTAATATTCTTCATCCGAGCTTGGAAACATTTAATTCTGGCACAGGAAACTAGATACAAGTTACAAAGAATGAAAGAACAGTTAAGGGCTTCACTGATCTTCCATGTCTTTTCTTGTACAGACACTTGTACAATTTAAACAAGCACAGTTGTCCTCCTATGAGTGCTCATTTGAATGTTGGCTGTTCATTCTGAATTCTGGACTTCAAGCTCAAGGAAATGTCTTAATTTAAGTTGGCTAAAAATTATAGTTCTAGTTATATTCTGGACAGCATTACAATTTTTTCCATCATTTTTAACAATGCTCCTATGTAATAACAGTCAGAATGAGAAATTACAGTGAATATTATTGCTATTTCTAAGGATTAATTGAAAAGTTAAAAAAATGAGTGGTTCTTCTATGTTAATAACTAACAGCAGATAAAATGCATCTGATTATAGGCCTCCCTCTCATGCTTTTTAAAAACTGGGAGCCTAGGATGAGTGTTGAGCACCACCAGGACAGTGAGCAGCTGTAGTCCAGCTCCCACTGCAGCAACAAGATCCCACTGCCAGAATAAACAACAGGTACACCTTGGTACCATTACTGAAAACTCCTCGGGACTCAAGAGGTGTTGAAATCTGCTCTATCCACCCACTCCCACAGCTGAATCACTTTCAGCATTCGTTCAAGAGGTGTACAGACAGACCTTGGAGCGCAGGATCCACTGCAACACCATGAGTCACTCCCTGCCATCAGTGAGACATGTTAGGGTATTTCTAAGCTTTCAGATTTTGAGCTAAGTATATGGTACATGGAGATCCTGCCTTCTTCCCCACCTAATCTCTTCTACACTGCTCCATAAGCATACTTTTGCAATATAACATTGTGGCCCACTTTTCTTCTTTACAGACTATCCCAATCACATATCAAGAAGCGTTGTGTTATAAGCATGACACCAAGGGTAGATTTGTATTGGCTATAACAGATGATTTATTACTTCAAGACAAATCTTCAGCTATCAAAGATTCCATTTACATTACTACAACTACTCATTCAAGTGACTAAGGCACCATGAAGTCTATTTTAAAAACTAGAGCCTGTAAGAGACCTTTTTTAGACATCAAAAGCTTCCTCACATTATATGCTCTGAGATTTGTAAAAACATGCACTTTTTCCTGGGAAGCACGGCTTATGCACATCAGACAATGAGCAACCCATGACAGCTTTACTTTCCAGAGACTGGGTAGGTGTTTTTAAGCAACAAAAAACAGATGTGGTCACAGACTTTTGCTTGTATTCATCTTCAGTTGATACCCATTATCTCTTTGAATATAATTCAGCCTATAAAAACATGACTTCAAATACTATTTCCTTAATGGAACAATATTTGGTAATCTGGGGAGTTTTGTATTTGCTTAATTAGATCCATTAGACATGTGCTTTGGTACACAGAAAAGGAAAACAGACTTAAAATCATTCTCTCTTCTGAGAAATAGAGCCTGACAAGCATGCAATACTAGTGAGAAACAACAATTGGCAAAATCCACTGGGAAAAAGAACACACTTCATTTCCAGAAATAAAACATGACTTGTCAACGGTAACGCAAGAGCTCCAGGAACTGGCCATGACGGTGTACAGGCATTTTCTCATCCGTCCAAGGGAGTTAGGCAGCTTCTAGGGCCAATGATAGCTTCAGGCAGGAGGTTAAGTACGTACTAACCAGCAGCTCTCCCAAGATGTATCCATTCCTGTAATAAAACAGCTATTCCCACAGATGTTCCCCAGAAATTAATGCAGTAGACTTTCCCACGTTTCTTAAGATGATAGAGGTTTTGGACTAGTTGGTAGGCTGTGTCCCACAAACACTGCGTGTCAGAGTCTGTGAGCT